TCAGTGCTAGCATGGGTTTTCTTCTGATAGTCAGAAACTTGCTCTTCTTTTTTGTCCCCCCCCCCTTCTGGCTTATTTAAAATCATAGCTAGAATGCTCTGGAAACTAAATTCTCCATCAGCTATATGGTGGCCCCTGCACTTCTGTCCTTGGCTGCTGCTTATTGTGGCAATGGAAGCAAAAATAGGGAGTGAGACTGTGGTCCCAGTCACATGGGAGGCTTTGATCTGCGAGAGGGACAGATCAGGGGCGCAGAAAGTGGGCGTGATCACACCGCAACATCTGGGAAGCGGCGCGCACCCGTCCCCGATCTGTCTCTTCTGGCCGAAGATGCGGATCAAAAAAACTCCTACAGCACTACTACTTACCTGAAAATCTGCAGCAGGGGTGGCCGTGGGATCGCCGGTGTGCCCGTCTCTGACAGCATGCGAGGCCCCCGGCCAAACTGGGCAGGTGCACACATAAACTGCGCAGGTGCGCACATGCGCAGCGCGCTGCCTCGCTCCCCCCCCCGGGCATTTGATCGTGCCGGGGAGCAACTGCGCGGCAGCTCGGAGATCTGTCTGATCCCGCCGCCACGCGTCTCTTTTGATGCAGCTCAAAAAAGCCACACTTCAATCGCACCTTTCCCCCCAGTGTGACCAGGGCCAGTGTTGCATGAAGCAGTGACATTATCACTTCTGGGTGAAGCCTCAGAAGTGACATCACTGTGTTGGATGATTCTCTAGGTAGCCAGCAGTGTTCCCTCTAAGCTGAGTTAGTGTGAGCTAGCTCATAGTTTTTTAGCCTCCAGCTCACACATTTTTGTCGTAGCTCAGGAAGGATGGCTCTAGAGCAAACTGATTTATGCAGTAGCCAAATGGCTCACTCACAACTTTAATGCCAGTAGCTCACAAAAGTAGAATTTTTGCTCACAAGACTCCACAGCTTAGAGGGAGCATTGGTAGCCAGCATATACATACACACTTCTCTACTCTCTTTCTACCTTTCTTTTGCAGTGTTTGTCTTGTGTTCAGTTGGGACCTTGCTAGCAAAGAGACCCTACAAGCCCAATCCTTTGCACGTTTACTTGGGAGTAAACCCCACTGTGTTCTCCAGGACTTGTACATAGGTTTGTAGCCACAGACACAACACATCCCATCCCGTCCCCCCACCCATCAAAATAGTCTGAAGAATCTGCCAGTCCTATGGAATGGAGAGAGAGAGAGCCTAAGATGTACATAGGGCAATCCTAAATCTTGATGTCAGTCTTCTTCATTCATTTCTGCAGGTCTAAACCAAGCCATGTATCTTATTTCCCTGCCCTTTTAACTTAAAGGAGAAGGATGGATGAGACTTGGAGGGGAGGGAAAAGATTCATTGGCACACAAAAAAGTCACTTGGTACTCATTTGGGAAGAAATTGCAAACTGATTGTGGCTGATAGAAATCCATGAAGAGGCCAAGATTTGGACATACAGAGGGACTGGGGTGGGCACGTGGAGAAGAGACTATCTGATTTGAGGCAAGATGTCCCAGGGCAGGCAAAGCTTGTTAGAATGAATGGGAAACACTCAAGTGCAGGATAACTTCATGATGAATTGGCACCTTCAGCCCATTTACAGCCAGCTGGGTGCATCAGGCAAGGGAGCAGATGAGCATTCAAAATAATGTGCACACCCACGGAGAATGTGCATATGGGGAGAAGTGTATACTCAACTGTGAATAAGTCCTGCTGTAGGTATTATTTCTGGGTAAAGGACTGGGCCACACAGTGTGGCAACAGTGGTGGTGGGTCTGTCTGTGTCTCTGTGTATGCCCACAGCTGAAAACCAGCTCTGTATTACTTTAGAATGCAATATATCTATAACAATGGTGAGTAGTCCCATTTGTCTAGCTGCATAGGCAGGTGAATGAGTGGCATTGTCTACAGAAGGGGTTTTCTAAAGAGAGGGGTGAATGGCTAGCAATCAATTTCCCCTCTGCGTGTGACCACACCCACGTGCCCACCTTGAATGTTATAGCTGGGAAAATACATATATCAGTCTATGTTTTCAGGGCATCTGTAAGCAGGGAAGAGGGTATTCAGGGTTGTGTGAACATGAACAACACCCGAGACAACAGCAAGGAAGGGTCTGAATAACCTTTCATTCCAGAGGCAATGTCTTTCTACACATTCTTGTCCAGGGCATGTACAAAAAGGAGGCAAGTGTGCAAACCGTAAAGGGCATTGTTAAATACTGGGTTCCATGGATGGTCTGACCGCAAGCATAGTGATCAGCTCTGCTTTATAGTGATTTCAGGAAAAAGACTGAAACCTCAGGGCAACGGCCCTGTTTAAATAGCATGCAATCTCCACACCCAAACACACCCAACCCCCAACAATAGGCTATTTACATAACATTAGTTTCTCGTTGGTCACCTCTAGGGACCTGGTGGGTTATTGTTCTAGAGC